CTTCACCGCGGAACGTGCCTTCATCTTCGAATAGTGAACGAGTCGGATGAGAAGGGAGAGTGTGTGCAGCAGAGAGCACATAGCACTTCGTCGTAAGCTCTCAGCGCAATACGCTCCCCATGGCCCTGAGTGGTAGGCTTGCAGCGTGCAAAAAATTATATCCATGCTGTTCGCGAATCCGAGTTGCCTGCTGACGCAGCGTACTGAATTTCTACGCTGATCGCGAAATGTGGTTTAATAATCACCTCTGGAATTGGAGTGGATGAACAGGTACTCCGGAATGGCTGAGATTTGAGTGGTACAGCAACCGTGCCGTTTCGATGTGCTCCGTAAGGAATTGTTCCCTGAAAAAGCGCAAGGAGCTGTGCATCATGTTCCCGTAAATTTGATGATTATTTTCAAAGAAATCTGAAGTTGTTGCAACTCGTCAGGTGGAACTACAAGAAGCTGTCGACTAACCTACTTATAAATTCGTCACCGGTGCTTGCTTCAAAGAGGCAAATCTTCCGTTTTGTGATCAGTAGAGTGAGAAGGTGATTGGCAGTGATATCGGTCTCATATTTGCGTGCAGCTGATGGCATGTTAAGCGACGAGGCATCGTAGGAGACATCCTTAATATCAAACCTTTTGCTTCATTGTAGATGCAAAGGGGAAATCTGACAGCGAGGAGATCATCGTGACAACTGAGGAAGCAAAGAGCTTAATAACGAGAAACAACCTCGCTATGTATAGTACGATATGTTGGACTCGTCCTCGAACCGAATATTAGCAAGGCTATAATAGTAGCAACGAGAATGAGAAATATGGCTGCGATTCCTCCTGACAGCAAAATGACCTTCCATTTCGGAGAAGATCGCTGAAATGTGGGACTTTCAACCATCTGCCACCTCTTGAAATAAGTCTACTTGCCTTCTTGGGATTATGTATGGCCAGATGAGTAGGTTTTGCTGGAGGAGGCACTGGTGGTAGTGCATTCACAACCTAAAGAAAATCATTTTGATGACCTACTTAGTTCTTCCTATAGAACCCTTTTTCAGTCGCTTTCCGATCGGTTTTCGGGTAGTCACTATCCGTTCATCATCCCTTTGGAGACTTTCGGCGCGACCTTCAAAAAGTAGGTTGTGAACCTAATTTTCGAGCATATTCGGCAAGCAAACGATAGTTTTCAGAGGTAGATAATATGGTTGGGTCAATTCCGCGCATATCGCACCATACCCCGGAATGTCATAAAACGTTTTATAGCTAAAAAGCTCATCATTGTGAGCCCCTCCAAACCATCTATGGGAATGCATTGTATTGATGCCTCCCATAAGCAAGTAATGGAAGTTAAACATTCCGAAAAACGTTCACTATGCTGAAACTCTTTGAGTAAAGGAATCTGCTCTCCAATTGAAATTATAAATTCAAGGAGCAAGCGCGGTTTTGTTCAACAAAGGTCTTTCAACGAAGAACAGAGGTCTCAGACGGGAAAACCATTTCGAGATTCATATGCGGCAAGTTAATGTTGCGCCTATTCTGAGACCCTCAGGTCGTCAAAGAGTGACTCCAGCTCCCAGAATTATCACCAGAGTTCTCCTAGGGCGAATAACTTTCTCCACAAATAAATGGTTTATATCCTTTAGCGATGCTTTCAGTGGTCCCTAACGATTGACAATGAAAATCTAAAAACGTGTTCTAACCCTTCCTCCCCCTCAGTCACACCAACCTTAGAACCTGTTTGTTTACTGGCATCTGCGCTTCATGCATTTTAATTTTACATACATATTCTTGATGCGCACTGTTTTTCAACAGATCGGGACGACAAAACAGTCCAAAAGCCTCTTCTACCTGATGGCAAAGAGTTTACGCCCGTTGAAGGGTGTTTTACCACTTCTGGGTAGCGTCTAGATTTCTTTACATTTTATAAAAGGTGAGTAATGCGGCAGGAAAATAGTTCCTGGTTCCCAAACAAAAGGTTCTAGGCACTATCACAAGTCAAATGCAAAAAATATTATCGAAGTAGTAAGCAAAGAAGCGAGGATAAAAGAGCGGGTCTAAGCCTATAAGTAAGCTACCAATTTTATAGCGGAAGAGGTTGAACGCTGAAAATCGAGAATATTTTCTTGTTCCCTGGTCAAGGGAACCCAGCTGTTACATGCATCATTTGAAGTGATTAGGTTAAATGATCCCGATTACTGGTGAATCACTTCATGAATTTCTCACAATTATAAGTCTTGAACAAGACATCATGTGACGAAAACTTACTACAAGTTAACAAGAGATGTACCTTTCTGGAAAACTTGTAGTTCTCCGAATGAACTTTCAAAGCTATTAAATGTTCACGAAACATTTTGGTCAAAATTAAGGTTAAAAATATTACCAGAAATCTTTCTTGCCCACGTACCCATGCAAGATCTATACAGTAATTCAAAAGCTACAATAGTTGCAGATAGTTTGAACTTCAGAGCAATGGTTTCTGATAGATAATGCCGTCCGAAGAATTAAGCGCAATGGACCGATCGAACAGCTTGAAATCGATCTCACCTGTGAACCTTGAGAAATGAGAGGACGTTGTAAAACTACTATAGACATTTCTTCGGACTCGATGGTCAATGTCCGGTAAGAAGTGTGCGCACAAGTCGCATCCACTGAATCGTCGTGCTTATCAATGATTGTAGACGTAATGTTGGAAGAAGGATGAAAATCCCAACGAGAATCACAGTGGGTTTAAAATTCGTTCGAATAGAGCGAACGATTGCTAGCAAAACAAGGGGAAGGCAAGCGGGGAGTCGCGATGGAAAAGAATTGCGGAATGACGCCGCTCTGTGGGTGATATGATGAGCAATCCGAACGTTTTTTTCGCGACCTACACTTCTGAGGACAGTTGTCAAGGAAATAAATCTGTAAAGAGCGTGACCCCTACAAAGGTCATTACTACCTGTTGGAGATGTCAAAAGTACCTGCGCAGACATCACTCAACAAATATCAGATTTTCGCTGAACATCGCCTCTTTCAGAAGTTGCGACGAATGAATACGCTTTTCCTGGGCTACAATGTTCCTCGCATTACCAGCTATAGAAAATATTCATTCATAGTATTCGTGATACTCGAGCTGCTAGCGTTATTCTTGAAAGGTGCCCTTTCTTTAAAAAGACTGCTAGCGACGTATTGTGCTCCTGAAGCCTCGAATGTCCATATAAACGTTGGCTCCGTAAGGCAGCTCCACCTTCACCCCCTTTTCAGATTTTCGAGATATGGTGGGCGCAAAAAAAGTCTGAAAAATCATCCAGCTCTCTCAGAGAATGCGAAAAAACCAAGGTTACCTAAGGGTTCGGCCAATATTCCTAGCGGGAGTCCATTTTGTGCACCGCCAATTGGTTCCTTCTCGAATTCTTCAATGCTGCTCGTACCAGAGCTCACATTTCGACGGTCCCTCTATTGAGAGCGGGTTTCCTCCTGTGAGTTCACCCAACTTCTGCACTTAGTAGTCCCATCTTAGCTAACGAGGCCTCCGGAGCCTTTATAAGATCCTTCCTTAGTTGATTTCGCCGGGTATTCGCCCCAATTGATTCAGGAGTATTCTCTTAGCGTTTTCTCATTTCTCATGTTGAGATTTTATAGCTACAGCCGTTTGCAGCAATATTACTAGCCACGAGAGCCAAAAAAGAAACTTCGCTAGTCGAGCGTACCCCTAAAACGTTTTTCGCGAAGTTTGACGAGGTTCGTAGACACTCCAAACGTTCACTTCGAATACTGGCCTCCTTTGTTTCTTCAAAATTTGTCAACTGGGCGTGAGTTGCAGGGTCGGGTGATGAGAAAAAAACAAGTCATTCCAACCAGATGCATAAGTTGCGTCCTCAAGCACTTCTCAAAGAATTGCTACTGTGCGGCTTTAAGACGTGTCTTTAATACTTGTAAGAATCAATTTTTCTTGTGGAAAAGGTAGTGTGGGCTGCAGACAACCTTGTGCCAGTTTCGACCGGAAATTCGAAGGTAAGGGCTGCGTCATGAATGATACCCTTCGAAAAGGGAGCACAGTTTTTGATCCACCGATATCAGCAGGCGTTTCCACGTGGCGGGTGCGGCATAGTTAGGTTCGTCCCACAAAGTTCCGGGATAAGTTCAGTTCATTGACCTAACTAAATGCGAGAACTGAAAAAATTTCGAAATGTCGCAAAGGTCGTAAATAATCCCGGCTCTTCTCAGTGCCCATCTGCCACTCTTCTGGATGTATTAGGCCATCCCATTCACAAAGAAGGAGATACGTAGAGGAACGGCAGGAAAGGAAAGGAGATAAGCCTGGGGGCTACTATATCATTTGAAAGCCAGTACCTTTAACCACGAATCCGTGAAATTTAGCTAGTCAAGCCACAGAACAAATTCTAGAGAAAATGAAAAGAAACCCAGGTAGTCGAAATCAGTGCCGGATTGTGGAATGGGGCGTCATACAAGGAAAGTGTGCTGCTAGAATTTAGGACGAGTAGCTGCGTATGATGGTGTTCTTGAAATGGAAGGTGTAAGATTTGGTTCAGAAGTCCGAATAAGGGAAAAAAGTTGTTGCCGAGGAGGGCTCCATAGTTTTCATCATGCACATCAAAAGTGGGCGAATGAAGTTAAGCGCTAAATCCTGATCAAAGAGACTATACCTTTGCCGAGCTTTGCCGCGAGTCATTCACGACTGTGAAAACGTCTCCCACCCAAGATGAAATATGGGTGGGCTTGTATCCCGAGCCAAAAATCACACGCGTCAATTTAAATTTTTTATAAATGCAGATGAGAAGCCGCCCGAATTCTGCATGAGGGGTTACGCGGGCCCAAGTGGATGATCATCATAGCGAAGAATTTCTGCACTGTGGCTTTCAAGCTGCTCTATCCTCGACAATCAGATCGACAAATGGATGGTACCACACAACTCCAAGAAGTCCAGCGTTTCTCGTCACAATGCCAGCCCCGAGTAGCCGTATTATTGGGCGGTGCTAGAACACAGGCAATAGTGAGACCTGGGTTCAATCGCCTTTTTTGCACTAAACTACGCCGTGCGCTTTCCAACTGTCCCAGTCGGTAGGAGGTACTAACGAAGCTACGACGTTTTGTCATTCCCCGAAATTGGCATCGAAAGCCATTTACTCGCACTTGTTGAAAAAACGAAGATGTCAGTGGGCAAATGCTACCGGGCACTGGGAGCGGATCATTGATAAAATAGGGATCTGCTTGACTTCAAGCAAAAATATTATTTTTTTAACTTTTTCTTTCCTCTTTCCGTACGGTTGCGTTCCTTATCGTCATCCCTCCCGCGGTCCGACTTTTGCCCACAACTCAGCACTCTTGTTTCCTCTCCGTTTTATTTGAATGAAACCTTCCACGTTAATGGGATGACCTAATAGTTGTACACGATTACAAACGCCATGTTGCATGCCATCTCCAGTTGCAATATTGAGCTTGCTTCCAAGCCCAAACCGGTACGCGTGAGCAACACCACATGATGCCTCCAAGATTGTCGAAGCGGTCACTACGTCTACACCTTCCATCTATACATAAAGCTGAAAAGGTTGCGCCTCTGCGCTGTGTTTAAGCGGACAGTCACGCCCTCTTCATCTTTGGGATATCGAGGGAACGGCACAGTCATGTCTTCTGGAAACGATAGCGCGTCCGAAGTGGGTATGAGATGGAGCAGAGCCGATCACCCTTTCCACCGGTAGTAGCGAGCTCGAGATGCTATCGCTGGTAGGAAAAGGGCGCCCTGGCTGCACTCGGATACGCGCCCTATCTTTTCTAGGGACGTTCGCTGAGCGGATTCAAGTTATTAGAATAAGGAGAATCCCACAAGCAGAGCCCCACATGCAGAAGAAGATGAGGAAGATGGTGCAGTTTGACGGGGGCATTTTGCACTTTCGCTACTTCCCATCGACGTGTCGACCCTTCTAGGCAGCCTGTTCTCGAGTTGACAGGTTTTACCATGATGGCTAGATGAGCTTGCTCCAGCTTCAC